AAGGTATGGCGACCTACGGCCAACACTGTGCAATTTGCCTTACTTCAGCAATTAATCTTGGGAGAACGTTATCTCGTGAAATAAATAATTCAAACACATTATCTCGTAGATTTAGTCGTAAAAGTTTTTTCACTTTTCATTCGGATCCAACCCGACCCAGACCCGAAATTTTTGTTGCTACTAATCTCATGATACTAAATGTTACCTTCAAATACAGGTTTTTGAAGTTAAACCATTTTTCTCAAATTTAAAAGGCTGACAGAAGCTGCAGTAAATTTCATCTCTGATTCGATCTGGATAATAAAAGAGAAAGGATTATGGGCTAAATTTAAAGCCTGGACGACGGTACTGTTTCTTCTGTCGGTGGGAATTAAAACCCTGGAATGCAATGAAACATGCATGTGAGTTTCTTTCATGTTTAATGAATTTCTTCCCTTTGATCGGATAAGGGTGTCTAAAGAGCGAGTCGATCGTAAATTAGATAGTGTTCGATTTATGCTCGTTAAAAAGTTTTATTGTTTGACTCGATTTCTTGTTTGTTAAGTTCGTTAGGTTTGACTCGTTGCTTGTTAAGTTTGCTAAAATTTTGTTTGACTCGTGCTCGTTAAAAGATTTTATTGCTCAATTCAACTCGTTGCTCGTTAAACTTACTATAAATTTTATTTTATTTTTAAATTATAAGTAAAATCTACTAATAATATATACAACTTAATATAATCATAAATTAACAAATTTAACAAAAAAAATTATTAAAAGAATATATGAAGCAATTTTAAAGTCTAAACTCTAAATTAACAATCCACATATATATATATACCAAACTAATATATTAAAACTAAAGTAATAATCCATAAATACATCAAACTAACATATTATAAATATTATTAAAAACATGAATTCAGCGATACATAATGAATCCTAGAATTAAGAAAATCAATATCTCCCACTCAATTCATTGTTGCTTGCAATAATCAAACTACTAAAAAATTATAAAAAAAATAATGAGTTGCCCGTGAACTTATTGAGTCGAGTTGAATTTTGCTTAACTCAACTTGTTAAGATCTCGACTTGAGCTCGAGCTTGAGTGGAGTGCACCCGAATCAAGCATTAATGAAAATTTTATCAAATCAAATTTGAACGGCTCATAAACTGTTCAACTCATTAAGCATCCTTAGATCGGACACACTTCTATTTTCTCGAGCATAACCATGTTGTACCTCATTAAAAATCTCTATTAAACCTAATATGGGGAAAAGAGTGTCAAACTACCATAAATCAAATATTAATTACATTTTTTTAAGTATCATGAGTAATGATATCAGAATAAACCGAATCAAAGAACAAAGAGTCACCAGTTCTAATAGCCCAATTTCATATTGCTAACTTAGCAAAAGTAACCTGAAATTGGGAATGATCCCGGAATTATTCAACTGAACTCCATAGTCCAAGTTCTCTTGATGATACCTATATTTGTTTTCAACGTTTCAAAGGAGCTTCGGTGCCCTTTAAAACCGACCAAAAAGGTAGGGTTTTTCTTTGAACATTTGAAAAGGTAAAGTAATCTCATTAGCCATATGGTCTAAAGGGGCAAAAGTGCCCAAATAATAATGTGGGAATTTTTAATTCCCAAAATAATGTACTCACCCGATTAATTCCTGATATAAGGTATTTTCTATAGAGTTTTAAGATCTCTCGACGTCTTAGGGGTGTTAAAGTAATGTACCCACATCATTATTTGGGCTATTTTGCCGGTCTAAAGGTGTAATTGACAAAGGCTGACATTAAAAAGGCTAAAACTTTTTAATTATGTCTCTTTGCCTTAAATGTCAGAGATAATGATAGAATTCAAAGTGATAATGAGTTATCATTTTGGTACCTAACTTCGAAAATGTTTGTAATTTAAGTACATAACTCAACTAAATAATAGTTTAAGCGTCTAACTTAGAATATATATATAATTGAAGGGTTTATTGCTGAATTAAACTTTTCCAAGACTATTTTATTTTTTCCGCAGCTCTTTAAATTTCTGTCTATACGCATAACTAAAGCGGAAAACAGGTCATTTATATTGGGTTAAATTCAGATCATTTCGGTTTAGACTTAATTTGGGTCAGGTTTGGGTCGGGTCAGGTCATTTTGGGTTTTGGTTGTATTCGAATCTATAGTAAGTAGGGTCGGTTCGGATATCGGATTGGTTGATTTTAGATTGGATCAAATCGGATCGGTTGATTTTCTGGTTGAATCAATATCAGATTAATTATTTTCGGTTTTGGTCAACTTTAGATCATTAGGTCAATTCAAGTTGAATTGAGCATAAGTCAATTCAAATAAGTATAGAATTATTGATATATATTTTATAAAAAATGTGACTTTTTTAAAATCTTATCATTTATGTTCAAATTTCATTCAAATTCAATTATCATTTACGTGTTATAATTTATTTCAAACTCGACCTATAAGATATGATAGAGTTTGTGATATGCGTCTTTTTCTTAAATCTTATTGGTTCAGGTAAATCAGTTCGAGAAATCGGGTTTGGATCAAATTTACCAGGTATAGGCTTAACCCATTATTATGATGAAGATTTTAGTTGGTTCATAAATACTTTGTATTAAATGGGTCAAGTTATATGGAGATAGTTGATGGAAATAAATATTGAAAATCATTGCACGGGGCAAAATCCCACGCAAATAAATGCAACCATGCACGCATGCCCCACCTATCAAGCCCTCTGCTTTTGCTTCTCGGTTTGTGTTTTGGTGAGCCGAAATACATACACGATGCTTAAACAAACTGCAAATTAAGATATTTACCTAATATATTAAAATTCCCAATCCTTCGTATAATATGATCGTAAACAAATTAAGGGCGCTGCCACTAAAGCAGCTCCAAATATCACGGTTTGGTTATAAAAAGAAAGCAATAGGTATATGTAGCTAAGGTGGCATGGGACCATATGGTTGTGCTGCTAATAAAGCAAGGGAAGGGTCCATGAATCGACCTACGGGGACTAATAAGATAGATAGTCGATCTCTTGAGAAATTTAATTTCTTATATGATTTAAATATTTTTATAAATATTTTTTTTAATTTTTTCTTTAAATTAATTTCTAGAAATTTAAAATGTAAAACGATAAGAATTCAACGTATTTAAATTAATAATCTTTAAACAATAGTATTAATTAAACTAAAATTTGATAAAAACATGATCAAATCTTTATAATCTATTATTAGTTCAACCAGCATGCCCAATAATAATGAATTTTTATTGGGTTCTGAATCTGGATTTTGTAGGCGGGAGATCTTATGCATGTGTTTGCTCCCATGTAGCCTCTTTTGATATTTTAATAAAATTTCGTATGTATGCCTTTTATATATAGGGTTATATGTATAAAGACAACTACTTAGGGTAGATCACCCTAATTGGCCTCGAGTTGTGGGACTAATAAAAATTATATACACATTATTTTCATTTTTTATCCACTTTGCTGTTCAGCCCGGATATTTGGTAAATTTACCATAAATTCACATGAGATGGGGCCTTTTGCAAACTTATATTGGTTTTACACCCTTCTTTTCTCCCATTGTTTAAGATCTGAGACATAAATGATTAAATCAATCCTACTCCCGAGTTATATATGCTCCAATGATGAAAATAATGTACCTGCTTGGTTTGAATTTCGTGGTGCTGATGATCACACCACTGTGACTCATAAAAGTTTAGGGATTGTAATCGTGGACCATCAACAATCATCATTGCCTTGGACCATATTTATTTCCCATTTGAAAGGATGAATTCTTTAATTTTGGTATTCTACCCTGTTCAAGGATGTGCCTTGACTACTTCGGATCGATTTGCGGAGCACATCTGCATTTGATAGTTGAATCTCCTAATATGGATTTTCTACATACATAAAGACTTGAACTCGAATACTTACTTAAACAATATCAAACTGCTTACTACTTGAATCAATCCGGTTGGTGAAATGATGAATTCTTTTATCATCATTGGCCTAACAAATTATTTTATCATATTTTGTCTAATAAATTTAATTACAAGATTCCTTTTAAAAAAGTGTAGCTTCTCCATAAATCCCTAATTTTACTCATTCCATTAAATTTTATAATAATCTTCTAAGCAGCTTCCTCATTTGTTATTTAGTGCAGAAATATCCCATCACTTAGCGCAAATTCCTCGCTCTATTTAAAAATACTTACGCTCAAATAAATGCCTCCCTCGGACCTTAAAAGAATTTGAACTAATATCCGAGAAAAACGATTAAACCCCTATTTTTTAAAATATATATTTTTAATTAACAATTGATATCTAATTTATTGATCGATTAATATAGATCAGGTTTTGTAGAGGCCCATTATAGGGACGATCCTCCCAAACTTATTTGCTCCATACACAATCGTCATTACTCAAACTCTGACATTGCTTAAAGAATCAAGTGTCTCATCTCACTACACCAACTGATTGTTAATGATTTTTTTTAAATTTTTTGATATATTGTAAATATTAATAAAAAGATATTTAGCATTTAAGCATATTTGATTTTACATCATCCTATATATTATATCGGATAATATATATCAAATTAAACTCAATCAATTTAAACCATGCATTAAATCCAAATAAGTTCTTTGAAAAATAAACATATCTTGTTATTTTATTATTTATAAAAAAAATTAATAATTTTTTAATTTTGCATTAAAAAATTGATATAATAATTAGTGTCTAATATAATAATAATTAGTGTTAAATGAAGCTTGCTTTTGGATTTCACTTGTAAAATTAAATTGATTCCTATTCGATAATTTTTCTATTAAGTAAGGTGATTACAAATTAATATATATTTTAAATACTTTCAATAATTTAACAATTAATGTTCGATCATCCTTAAAATCATTGATATTTAGATATATGATTTTTAAGAATAATAACGATTTATTTAATAACAATAATTTATTTAACTATCGAAAATGACATAACCCCGTCATTTTTCGCGTTGCTACCCTTACTCTATGTACACTAGTCTTACAAAACGAAAAAGTTAAACAATAAATTTTAAATTTATCTAGCTCAGCCTTACACGTGCATACAATACCTCACAAGTGCACTAGTACACCGTGAAAGAATAGTTTCGTCTGTGCTCCGGTGACGGTGATTTTGACTGTGGCATCAACAACGGAGACTTTAAACTCTCATAATATTCCAATATATCTATTTGTCCCGGCACTACTTTCTCCGTCGAGCCGTCGTCTTCTGTTGACGGAATGAACGGCGGTCGTGACACACTCGTTAAGAGGTCCCACATGACCCCTCTAAAGAACGCGTGCTCCTTGATCTCGCACGCTCCTCTGTGATATCCTAGTCTTTTTGTCGGATCCTTCTCCAATAACCGTCCGATCAAATCCGTCAAATCGTTCCGTGGTCCCATGAACTCCGGCACTCTGTACAAAACGTTTCGAAACGTCTCCTTGCGGTTCTTCCCTCTGAAGGGTGTCGTACCGTAGAACATCTCGTAGCTTAGTATTCCAAGTGCCCACCAATCGACGGCGAATCCATGTCCGTCCCCGAGTACTACTTCAGGTGAGATGTATTCCTCCGTGCCCACGAACGAGTATGAACGTTCCCCGTTTGAGAAACTGAGCTTCCTCCGACTCACTGGGCTGACTCGAGAAGATTTTGGTTTTTTATTATGAGCTTTGCCATGTTTTTTATCATCCACGACAGGGACCCATTGGGCGAAGCTTATGCGATGTTTACGTTGAAACGGAATAGCAGGCAATGAATTGGGATCCTTCTTGTCGAGAAATACATTTTCAGGGTGTGATGATTGCTTCTTCTTTAAGTTTCGTGAAAGGTCGAAATCAGTTAAAGTGACGTGACCCGATTGTTGAATGAGGATGTTTTCAGGCTTGAGGTCTCGGTAAACGATGCCCTGTGAATGAAGGTGGTCGAGAGCGCAGAGGATCTCAGCCAGGTAAAACTGGATGACAGCGGCGGAGAAAACGCGGTCGTGTTGACGATAACGAAGGACGTTGAGGTCGGAGCCAGGGCAGTAAGGGACAGCCCAGGCAATAAGGTCGGGAGTTTCAAGGCGACCCAAAAGACGAGGGAGAAATGGGTGGTGAAGAGTTGGGTCGGGAGAGGAAAGCCTGGCCAAGACCTCCATTTCCCAACGGGCTCGACGGTCAGCGTCACGTCGGGATCTCTGGACAACCTTGAGGGCAAAGGTGGAACGGGCGGTGGGATCCGTCGACGTGTGGTGCACGAGGAAGACACGCCCCATGGCTCCTTCGCCAAGGATTTTGATGGCTTTGAGGTTCTCAAAATCTAACTCGGGTGAAGATGAAGGATTATTATTACCCATAACCATTTCAGAGGAAGAAAGCTAAGTGTTGATGGGTTTGGTCTGGGTTTTTTGATATATACATATAGATGGGTAGAGAATAGAGACGTAGTTTGGTTTTGGTTGGTTTGGAGTACCAGTATCTGTTTCTGGTGAAAGTAAGGTTTTTTCTTGGTGTCTGTGAACCAATTTCTCTCCACTGCAAAACTAAACATGTACATCCCTTCACACCCGGTTACCTGGAATGTTGTCTTTCCACTTATTGTTACAAGTTTTTTTAATCAACTATGCAATCTAAATGATAAATGTATTGTTGTTGTATTTTAAAGTCTCAAATTGAACAATGAGTATTCAATATTAAATGGTTGAGAATTATTTTTGAATAAATATTGTATTCTATTTATATTAGATTAATTAAAAAAAATTGTTAAAGTTTTATTATCATCAATTATATTCAAAAAATCATATTTAACATCCATATTTTTATAACTTATTTTATTTCTATGTTTTAAAATAAAAATAAAAATAATTTAATTGGTATTGAAATAGTTCATGATATTAAATTGAATTATATATTTAATAATGTTATATTATTAGAGTAGAATAGTTTAACTTTTAATAAGTGTAATGAGTTGCATGAATTAAGCTACCTAAATGGTTAAATGGATGGTTATTATCTCTAGAGGTCTTGAATTTGAGCATTAACAATAAAAATATATTAAAACGTTCATTGTCAAATAATTAAAAATATCTAATACAAATACTATCAATTATAATATCTTTAAATTAATAAAAAAAATTGTAATGAGTTGGTTAAAGTGGATATCCCCTGTTATTAAATAGAAAGCTAATTAGCAAAGAAGAAAAAACGGACACACGTGTTTGTGAGAAATGGAAAGATGCATAGAGCCAAATAAAAGACAAAAATGATTGGCTCTATACGTATTTCACATGGGTGCTACCCATGATCAAGGGATCGTTCGTGCACCTTCGTCCTGAATCTAAGATTTTTGTCCCTTTAATTGATTTTGTTCCTTAAATTTGGTTCTTAGATTAAGAATTAATTATATAATAAATAATCCATTAAAATGGACTCTATAGTTAAAGTGAATGCCGTTCTTTCTCGAAATTATGAGCTTTAACAGCTGTGAGTGCAGGTGTGTTGTTGATAACTAAAAAAGATTCTAAACAGATAATACCTTATAATCACTATAAATTATTCATTATATATATAAAGCACGATCAGGCAGGGTAGGTTGGGTTGGATCATAGGTAGAGTTGGGATCTTAATATTACATCAAAAAATTAGGGTTCTAAAGGGGTATCCGAGAGGATAGAGAAGGATTAATTAGTTTAAAGGGAGAGATCTAATTGTGATTTATTTCATCATTGTGCTTCTATAAAGTGAGTAATACTATATCTTCGATCTTTATCTTCTCTGCATAATCATGATCATTCTATAGACGAGCATTCACCGGGATCGGATGTAACAATTTTCTAGCTTCAGGGTTAATTTTTTTTCAATCTCTTTCGTTAATATGTTGGTATGTGGTGAGCACTCCCAGCTCCATGGACAAGCATTCTCATTCTCAAGTGTTCATCACGAGAACTTTCATTGAAAATACTACATAATTGCGTAGCAGATAAAAGCTACATGCAAAAGATTGAATTAGAGAGCATCCCTTTCATGGGGTTTTAGATGTTGGCATCTTCTGTCTATGCATGCAATCCTTTGAAAAAAGGATCCACAGCTTTAGGGTACATCAAATCTTCTCCACTGTTTTCTTTGCCTGGCTTTTCAGCCCAATTGGACATTATAACCCCACCAAAAACCCTAATTATTATACTATTTAGAAGATCTTTTTTACTATTTGGTGTGTCCCGGCTGTCTGCCATCAGTTGGTTGGAGGAAAGGTAAGGTGATTTTGCTCAATTTAAGGTATAAAAATGAAGACTTTGGATGAAATTGAAAATGTGATAAAAAATTTAATGTTTTAGATTATATCTAACTTAAAATGTTACATTTTCCTTAACATTTTTTATTAAACCTAAAATATTACGAAAAATGTAATATTTTCGGTTGTTAATAAAAATGTTATGAAGAATATAATACTTTCAGTTCAATAAAAAATATTAAGAATGATGTAATATTTTAGATTACATCCAACTTAAAATGTGATATTTTTTTATCACATTTTATCGATCAAATCCAAAATAATCGATTTTTAACCTTAAATTAAATTTACTTTATTTAGACTTACCTAAGATTCCACCAAGCTCAAAGTTTAAAAGGAAAGAGAGAAAGGAACTAACTATATTCCCTCCACCAATCAATGTCAATGGTAAGAATATATGTGCACTTTAAAGATGAAAAAAAGGGGAGAATTTTACGGTACAACTTTTTATTATAAGGTTAATATAAGACTTGATTTAAAATATTATAAAATAATATAATATTTTAAGTTGTGCGTAATCTAAAATTTTAATTTTTTTTTTATTTTTTTTGATTGTAAACATATTTTAGGTTACAGTTGAAAATGTTACAATTTTCATAATATTTTAGGTTGCAACCGAAAATATTTAAAAATATTATCTTTTAGGTTGCACGCAACCTAAAATATTATGTTGTTTATAATATTTTAGATTACGCATTTTCTTAACTTTATATCAAGCTGTCGGTTCCCATAATTCGAAAAAAAAAGTATATCTACTTTTATCATGCTCTTGTTGGTAGGGCTGAGCAACGAAACCGAGAAAATCGAAAAATCGACACGAACCGAGTAAAACGGTTCGGTTCGGTTTGACTTTAAACGATTCGATTTTCGGTTCGATTTAAAGGCTTTATTTTTTTGATTCGGTTCGGTTCGGGTTTTCCATATGGAACTCATTTGTTCCATATTGAACCAAATAGACAATTTTTGTAAAAAAAATTATAGTTTCAAGTGATTTTTTTATTGAAAAACCGATAAACCGAACCGAACCGAACCGAAAAACCCAAATCGTTAAAAAAATAGAACCGAACCGAAAAAACTGGTTTCGGTTTTTTCTATTTTTTAACTATTCGGTTTCGGTTTAAATATTGAAAACCCATTTATTTCGATTCGGTTCAATTTTTAATAAAAAACCGAACCGAACCGAACCGAATACACCCCTACTTGTTGGCCATGATTTCACCACATTAGAAGAATCCCTTTTTGTTATTATTCTATTTCAATGTGTCCTATCCTATGATCATTTCAAGAGTAAAGGGGGAAAACCCCATGTACTAAACATGTAATTTATCATTAGTTTTACTTTAAATGTGGGACCACTGCCACAATCTACACATATTTGCAACGCATTCATTTTAGTTTCTCATTTTCCTCTTTTTAATAATTTGCATCCATCAAAACTTTTTCAATCATTTTCGACCGTCCGATTGATATCACCATTCATTCTACCATATAGTGGACAAATAACGAATAATGAGCAAACAGTTGTTCTGGTACAAAGTTTTTCTTTTCAGTTTGTTTTGCAACCTTGGATTCTTTATTATTACAGGGGAAGTAACTTTATATATATATTACCCCATGCCCACCTCACAAATTAAGAGAAAAATGTTATTTTTTGTTATTTTATTGGTTAATTATTATAATGATTGTTGTGAAGTTTAATGAGATGAAAGAATTCACGTAATATATTATTTTCTAGGGTAAAATATGTGTTTAGTACCTTAACTACCATTTTTTGGTTCGTTTTAGTACTCGAATTTCCAATTTTTTCAACATCATACATAAAGGTTAGTTTTTGTTTCATTTTAATACCCGCTGTTAAAAACTTTAGTTTTTGTTTCATTTTAGTACCCCGTTCAAAATTTAACGTTTTAAAAAAAATTGAAATTTTAGGTACTAAAACGGGCAAAAACTGATAGTTTATGTACTAAACACTTTAAGTTTTTCACGACGAGATACAAAAATGAAATGAAAATTAAACGTAAGGTATGATTTTGAAAACATTGAAAGTTTATGACTAAAATAGAAAAAAACTAATAATTTAGGTACTAAATATGTAATTTACTCTATTTCCTAAAGGAACGTGAAGATTGCATATATGTGTAATAAGGATACGATGACAAGTAAGAACATACATGTGCATACATATATACCACATTCAAGGCTAACTTTGTAATAAAAATAGACAAAATGCGTACATTATATTTTTGTTAGATAAAACTTTAATTTAAAATCACAAAAATTGATTAATATTTAAATTTGAAAAAAAATTAAGAATCGTAGTTTGATAATTTTGTTAAAATAAATTTATCCTTTCTTTAGTTTTTCTTTTGTAATTAAGTATTTATCCCTATAAATATATACTAAGGGTTAGGGTTAGGGTTAGAGATTGAGGACTCATTTTGTATTCTTCTTCTATCGACATTAGTGAATTTTCTCCTATTCTATCTGTGGTTTTTTCCGAAAGGTTTTTCACGTAAAATCTTGGTCTCAATTTTATTGGGCAGTTATTATGCATGTCGTTATCCTGTAATAATTTTGATTTTAATAGTTTTATGTCAAATAATCAAACTAAAAAAGATTATAAAATGATCATATGATTAAAAAAAATCGATCCATCCATCGTTCTTAATCTAAGAATGTATATAGATTGACGTAAAAGTATAAACAAATTCATCCTATAATGCATCAAACGATTTTTAAATGGTATGAAATATTTTATCATTTATTTTTAAATTTTAAAAAATATTTTAAAAAGTAATTAATACTATATTTTTCAAATATACAGATGAATAAAAGAGACGGAGTGGTTGAAAATTTAAAAGTGGAGTGCGGCCCAGGTTTACTGCGAAGCCGGCTAACTTGTGTTTTATTTACTTGGCCCGAACGTATAGGCTTCGTTTAGTAGTAGACGCATAGAATTTGGGCCGCAAGGAAATTCAAAGGGTCAAAGGAGGTCAAAACACGACACCGTTACGGCTCCCAGCACAAATACTACCATCGCCATCACCCTTTTCTTCGTCGTCCATATTTTCTCGACATCTGTTTAGGGTTTTACTCTGCCGCAGCTTTTCTTTATGGTGCGTTTTCTCCTCTCAAATTGTCTATTCATTACTGTTTTGATATTATTATTCATGCATTCTTGATAGATGTTAAATAATGATCATACTTTTAATCA